AGCGTTTGCCGTCACGTGAGCAAATTTTAATTGGCCATCGTTTCTACATATTTGAACTTGACATGGCACGTGCCAGCGAAACAAAAGGCAAATGGGTGTGCTCAACGCAAACCCCTAAACAGCGTGCATGATGGAAACGAGTGATCAGTAAAGATAAACAAGAAACCTTATCCTGTTTCTTTTTGTCTGTCACGAACATACATATAGCGATTATCGTTCTTAACATCTGACTATCCCTAGATATCGCTACTGAAATCACAATGTTAGGTGCATATTTCTCGACGTGTTCTGCATAAATGTCATGTCCTATCGTATTATGGTAAGAAATTTAACCCAACTCTCTCATGCATCTTAAAAGTAAATTTTGAATTCCAAAGAAAACAACTTTTCGAAACAAACGAGACAAACGAGATTTTTCAAAACAATTTTTCTTTGAATCCGAAATGTACTTTTAGGAAGCACGAGAGTAGGGTCAGTTTTCTTACTATTTGTTACAACTTACAATGCCTCTCAAACCAGCTTTCAAGCATATTCAAGACTGTAATGTCTTATCCTTTGATTTAAATTTAACGGGTTCCTTGTTGTCAATCTAACAGTTTATAATGATAACCTTATTTTACACGTCCTTGCTCAAGCCGTGTGCCTATGGCAAGGACCTAATTTCAACAATATACCTAGACAGCAGAAGCATGACAAGTTAAGACAGAAGCATATAAGTTATAAGGTGATGGCAAAATGGGTACATATCTTCCAATACGACAAAGTACAGGATGGTTGGTTGAAGTATCTTTTAACCCATCTAAGGAATGCTAGAAATTCCATTGATAATAGGTTTAACGGGGAGCTGTCGGCCTTCTTTAGTCGTATATAGGCGTTAGCCGCCCTTCCCTGTCGACCGACCCGACTTTTTGCCGCCGAGGTATGTATGGCTAAGCCTCCCCCTCCTCCACCCGTGTGCATCTGGTGCTCTGAGGTGGGGGGGGGGGGGGGGATGCGAGCCGTAACGTGGGTCTGAGGCCGTCCTCACATGGCAAACTCTTATCATGCACCGTGCAGTTGAGCGAAACTGCTTTCTCGGTATGTTCCATGCACGAAAAGAAGGGATTGCTTCTTTCGTATTTCGTTTGCTTAAATTTTAGGGCATTTATTTCGTTTCACGTTTCTATTCACAGTAGATTTCGTCACATCTTTTATCTATTTATTTCACCACTTCGTGATTCATCGGTCGCAGCTTACCCTTGCCGCAGACGGCCACTCCTATGCCACCTGCTGGCACCACCCACTCGCCTGAACACACCCCTTTCCCGCCCAGCCGCACATACAAGGCTCTGACCATATCCCTGACACATTAGGAGCACATCATCGTCGCTTTATCAGCTGATCGGTCGCCTCTGCCCCCTCCCCGCGACCACAGTACGGACCAGCCGACCGCCACGACTGTCGGCACCGCACCAGGAAATATGGGTCAAGTGCAGCGCCGGCCGGACGCGCTCTGGACCGCTTTGATACCTGACGGTCGGTCGTGGCGGCGCGGCGGTCAGATTGCCGGGTAGCAGCACGGCCTGTCTGCTGCCGTGACGGACCGAGCGGTGCCGTCTGCACGGCGCGGCGGGCCAGCCGCGTGTACCGACCTGTTCGGATGGGTCCTAATCGCAGCCATGATGCAGCCCCGTCATCATGGTTAATATTGTTGATGCAACCACATCATTGTTCTTTATATTGTCGTTGTCGCTCACTTAGTAGCGATCATCGCTGCGGTCATCTTTACATCAACTTAAACGCCTACCTCTGCGACACACATTGATAGACGCTCGCGGGTCTGTCTGGCTCGGGCGACTCAAGCGACACTCGGCGAGACGCGTGTTGTCAGCGGCCCAGCTCAGGTGACACGGACCGAGAAGCGCACAGCGCGGCGCATTGTGCGGACCGGTCCGTGTCGCTGGCAAGCGGTCTGGACCGGTGCGCGGTACCGGCTGAGTCACGTTCCTGACTCGGGCCGCCCGCCCGGGTTGGTTCGGTGTAGTGGTCCACTCGGCGTGGTCACACCAAGTCTGTGCACTGTGCACCAGTGACGCAATCTGCACTTGGACGAATGGGTATGGACCCGCAGGAAGCTGCTTGAGAGGAGAAATGTGAGCGGGAGGAAGGAGGCCTCTGAGCTTAGCTGGAGGCTCCGTCACGGCCAATGGCATATCGATGCTGATCGAATTTGGAATTCGGAGTGAAGGGAGAGACGGCGTGGCCCGGGGCGCCGCCCGTGGATTTGACTAATGGTCGGGCGATAAAACCGGCCAGCAAAACCCGTTTTCGAGTCCCACGCGACCAGCGAGCTATTTCGGTATGCCTGCGCTGCTCCCTTGGATAAGCCGCGTTTGGAAGCATAAGACAGCGTGGCTTTAATTTACGATATGTCGCCCCAAAACACAGCGAGATGTGTTCTCGATTGTCGTTTTTATTAGAAAAATAATTAATTTACAAACTTATTTGCATATTTCTTTGATGTGTCTATCCGATTCGTTGTCGATTTGCGTATGAATAAAGAAGAGTTCAGATTCGAAATCTTCGGACATTTTTTATTATGCATGCAGTTTAATCACCCTATGTTAAGTTTTAGCTGCGATTTATTTTACAGGAGTCGGGGAACACCTTACGGCTAAATTAACTTCCCGCCCCTACGCGCCACTTGCCGAGCTCCGTAGGTAAATTTAATTAGTTTGCAGCAACTGGTCCGTTGATGCTCTTGGTCGCACTGGTTATTTGAGCTAATGCTAGCTCGGTGGCTGTGCCCAAACAGCCCAACCCGGCCTCGGCCATTGAACACACGCTCACTCTCTCCGCGTGCGATGAAGACGGCGCACTCACTTTCAGCACTACGGTACTGACAATGAAGCGAGCGTGCGTGGCCTGGTTTGTACGTTTTTGTCCCACGAAGGTCGACTCTGACTGAAGGATTGGGGTGCGCGCATTTAATCGATTCTGCCATTGTCTGAAGATGTCCTTCCAATGCAGAATGGGCTGAAGCACGCTGGGTATTTAGGCCAGACGGAGACATCACTGAGATGGTCTAAGCGGCGAAAACCACACGCTCTCTCCGTCTTCACTCTACCGTTACATCTCTGATAGTGCCGATGCCCGATACCCTATAATACGGGGTGTTGTGGTTGCGGCCCCAGCTCCGGCGACCCCACACAGTGCTGCGTCTCGGCCGAGGGGATGGGATGCAGCGTCACTGACCATAACACCTGGCTGGCCGCCGGTCACGCGCGTCCAAGCCGTATCAGGCCAGCGCGGCAGCGGAACGGGCGGCGTCACCCTGCGACCACCCAGGACCGGCCGGCGGCCGCCCCCGCCCCCGCCCCCGCCAGTGCCGCCGCCCGCCGCCCAGCCGACCCGCCCGGTAAAAACTGTATGGCCGTAATTTTCACCCGATCTCCTGGCGGAGAAAAACGCGCCCGAACGCCAATTAAATAGGGCAAGCCGGATAATACTGGAGCAATTTGGCCGGTTCGGCTCGGGCCCCGGCTATCTTCTGATTGCGCTTTTGACGTACACCTCGATTGGCTTCGGACCGAGCAATGGCTAATGGCTGGATTCGGTGGCCATAAAGAAGATTCTTTAAGCAGCCTCTGACTTGGCTCGGCCCGGACCTGAGGAGGCAATCGAAAAATGACCTCATGGGGTGAGCTGACACCGTACTGAAAACCCACCGGAAACTGACCTGATGTGACCCAGGGCAATTATTGGACACGCGAGATGAGACAAATGTGTTTGTCTACGTCTGTTCAAGAGCCTTTGTACTTTGTAGGGAGCTGTATCATATTACTTTGTTACCAATGCGAGAATTTTGCTCAACAACAGATCCGATAGATGAAAAATGCATTGCCAGTGCTGCTTATCGTCATTGATAAGATGGAAAACACTGCAATGAATACCCATATCTTAACCCTCGCACGACCAGGCCATTTCTCATAACACGAACGACCAGGGGGGGGGGGGGGGTTGTTACGACCCCCCTGGCGTTTCGAAACGGAAGGTCGTAGAGCTTAGCGGAAAAAACCAACGGATTGCTCTCAACGAGATCTTGCGATTGATGGTATATTTTTTGGTCCTAGGTCAACATTTGACCTACTTATGACCGGTCAAAGGTCAAATTTTCCGAAAAAATCAAACTTTTTCAACTTTCCGCGGCGATTGCGGCAAAACGGTGGGAGATATCGACTTGAAACCTTCACTATCGTGTTCCTTGATCAATTCTCTATCGTTTGGTATGTATTTCGTTTCCCTAGCTCTAAAAATGGCGCGTTGGGAGCGCCGGAAGTCGGCAAGGTCACAGTCGGCGGCAGAAATTCGAAAAATCAAAATTTAAATTTTTGAAATCTGATTGTATTTTTGGATTTGGGAGGTCCATTTGCTCCCTATAGAAGCTAATATTGCTGCATATTCCCATTGAGGTGACAAGAATTAGCAAAATAGTGGTTCGGGCGCTTTTCAAAAATAGTACCGGACGCTGTTCCTCTTGTGACGTCATAGCTCCGTGACCTGACCTGACCCGGTCAATTTTATTGCACCACACGATAGCCAATGCTTGCCCCAACATGCATGGGAAGTTTCATCATGATCCATCAAACAATGTGGGTATCACCGGCAGAAAACCTAGGGATTCGGCGCACACGTTTGGTAACTGTCGGCCGGAGGCTGTACCTCTTATGACGTCATAACTCCGTGACCTGACATGACCCGATCAATTTTTTTCGGCAAAAGATGCGCAAAGGTTGCCCCAGAGGGTATTGAAAATTTCAGCCCGCTACGACAAGCCGTTTAGCGTGCACTTCGAAAAAACCTCAGGGGGGGGGGTTGATACAACCCCCCCTAGGCGTTCTAGGGTTAATCACCCGATGTAACCTCATTGATAAAACTGACGACTGATCGGGTGCCATGGTGACGGTCGTACCAAATCGGTAAATCCCTTCCAGCTCATCTGACATGCTTTTCTTTTTCAGTACTGGCTGGATCCACAAAAGAAGGTCGTCAGGCAGCTTAAAGGTAAGAACCTGCCGAGTATGTGTATACATGCGCATATTTTAATCAATTCAGATGCTAAGTCATTCATTTGTTGCCGCAACGTCAGCAAGATTCACTTATTTGGGATGCCTGTTGCGATAGTCTTGCAGACAACTTCGTTTCATTGTGGCATGGTGACAGACAGAATGTGCCGATAATTCTAAGGGGTTTCTCGGTTTCCCAATTACCTTCACACTGGAGTTGCGGAATCCTCCGTATCCCCATGAATGACATTAATTCCGATGGTACCTAGTTTTTTTTTTTTAACACAGAGCGACTGTTATGAAATTGAAAAAAACTTGCGGTTTCTTCGGATATCGTTCTAGTTATGAACACTGCATGATATTGTTCCGCGTCAAACCCTATTTAGACCTATTCATTTCTATCAAGTTTATCCATGCAGGTCGGCCAAATGGTGTTATAGAGACCTGCTGAAATATCCACTCGATATTTATCTTATATTATGCAATCCAGAACTCGGTCACATCCACGAAGTCACCGCTGTTTCCACATATCAGTAGCGTCATATTCTGAACTTAGCACTGCATATAACAGAGCGAGTGGGCTACCTCCAGTGGCAGTGATGCCCGTTTTTTTTTTTTCGCCGGCGCTGGGCGTCGCCCGTCACTGTGTCACACGACATCAAAGGTGCCGCCTGTCACGACCGACCGCTACGGGGCGGAGCCGCCTTTTTACTGCCGCCCCGCGAACAGCACAGGCGCCATCGATAAATGACAATCAACGCCGAAAAAGTTGAGTGATGAGTCGGTCATAACGGCCCCTGACGTTCGCTGCGAGGGTGGTCTGGCGACTGGCGACGGCCCCTCACTTGGCGTATAATCCCCGCCGCGTCAAAACTGAATAATATTCCGCAGGCGTGTCAGGTTACAGGCTGCTGAATTATGCAATGCCAATAAAGAAAATACAAGGTTACAGCGAGTTATCGTAATGACTGTTGCCTTTAAATACCTATGAACATACCATACTTGGATGTTGCGCAAGTTTCTATTAGCGCCAGAGAGTTAGGTATGTAATGAGCAGAGATCTTATATACATCCAGCCACCCTAGAAAGTGGCCATGTTCTTTGCTTTGCCACGAATTGCATGAAAATACGCTGTTTTATCGGTGGCTTCTTTGATCTATGTAATTATCGCAAGGCCATCCTGCCTAAGGGAACAAGGAAGGCTAAGCTGCAAATCCGCCGAACTGCCTCAACCGCGGCACGGCATTGTTGTACCGCGCTATGATATGTAAATTGGCTCGGTTTTAGTTTGCTCGCAGCCCGCCAGCAGAGGCTTGGGCCTAATTTGTCGTCATTAGGCGCTCGGCACAGCCGAAATCAGCAGTGAAGGCCTGCCGAATACCACAGGCACGCCCCACACACCATCAATGATCTAACCAGATTAACAGTGTACCAGGCCTAATCTCGCATCTGCTCCCGTTTTAGCGTGTATCTACATCAAAGCCGGCGCTCTAGCCACATACATACATGACTGTAGCAACTGGAATGAGACATGGATAAACATTAAACACGCCATTTGCCTGTAAAGAAACGCGAAGTTTCTGGAAACGAGATGCTACTAATATGCCAATTTAAAGGCTCGTAAACGCGCCACAAGAATGCACAAACGCCGACAAATAAGAAGGAACGGGCAGCGTTGCTGATTGTGGTTTTCGAGCATGCCCTCATTTGGCAGTTACCATCTTCTGTGATGGAATATTATGCTATTTTTTTAGACACAAGACAGATGCATAAATGCATCTCGCTCTATAGATAATTTCATGCTGCGATAACCGTTCTTTATAACCTCTTTTGTCTCGTTTCAGATACTGACCCGTTCACACTGTACTTCTGTGTCAAGTTTTACGCAGCGGATCCCTGCCGATTGTTGGAAGAAATCACCAGGTAAACAGGATATTTTTTCTATTGGGAGCCAACGCTGTAACCGTGGTCCTGTCATATACCTATGCAATTGCCATGCATAATCTGTCGATGCCCGGGCGCTCACGTTCGTGTGAATGTTGTTTGTTGATTCACAGGTACCAGTTTTTCCTGCAAATTAAGCAGGATATCCTGGAAGGCCGTCTGCCGGTCACCCCGGAGCTGTCGGCTGAACTGGGTGCGCTCGTCATACAGTGTAAGTGTGCACCACCTCTCTATAGATTTAAGTGCATAACACTTTTGCGCCAATTGCCTATGCTAGTTATGAATTTTGTGAATAAATGCTCTCTCTCTCTCTCTCTCTCTCTCTCTCTCTCTCTCTCTCTCTCTTTCTCTCTCTCCTCTCCTCTCCCTCTTTTTCTTGGTCCTTTTTTTCTGTTGCTTATGCATACTGAGAGATTACTGACTAGTCCTGCCTCTCGCCGTCGGATAATATGCACAAACTGGGCGGTTGACGTCATGGTCAGACATCAAACCGATGCCGTCACTGTGCACAAGTGGGTCCGGTTATCTATAAGAACCTTGGGTCCGGTGACTTCATTGTCGAAGCTCGCTCGCACCTGCGCGCATTGGACCTCGGTCACATGCTCACGGGGACATGCCATCTGACAGATCCCAACCGTTAGAAGTTGGTTCAGTGCAACTGCAGTCGGTAGGTCTGTATGACTGGGCACCTTTTATAGGCACTGCTGCGCAGCCAAGTGATTTTAAGTATCTATGGTCCTGTTTGAGTGCACGCACAGCTATCACTGTTGCGTATGGAGCGATAATTGTTTTTGTCCTCTTGGTTTTATCCCACCAGTGTAGTCTTCTCATCTAAAATAAATCTCCCCTTCACAGCGGAGCTGGGCGACTATGACCCGAAGCGGCACACGGATGGCTATGTGGGCGAGTTCCGGCTCTTCCCCAACATGACACCAACACTGGAGGAGAATATCGTCGAGTACCACAAGACTCTCGTGTAAGTACCGAACAGGCGACAGTGATTCGGACGGTACACCGAACTGCTTGTAGTAGACGACTGTGACTTGCAGGAACGCATTGGATGTTGTTGAATGATAAATGCAATTCATGTTTGACACAGTAGCACAGGTGACGTAGTATTTTCTGATGCGTTGTCTGTGCCTAGCTGTAGCTGGTAACATCCAAGGACGGAACACTGAAACCAGTGCACCTGGACACTGGACAGTGCAGGTGGTAGCAATGATACTTTTGTGCAGAACGAGGTCAAGGATAAATCATGACAACTACTGAAGGCAGTTAAGTTTAGCTGTGCAGACTGATACCGATCGATATCGACTCTACCGTGTCCAACAGTGGGCGAGTGCCTTCAGTGGTGGAATTCAACTACCTAGAGAAGGTCCGGTGGCTGGAGATGTACGGCGTCGACCTGCACCCGGTGCTGGTGAGTGCGTAGATCCTGTGACGTATTGCCGGCTATGACGGGGGCCGTGTGGTGCGTGACCGTCGGGCTTGGAATGGTCACGTCTCTGGAGTCAGAGACAGGGACATTCCTGGCCATCTGACAACAGGACCGTGGGGATTTTACAACACAGGACTGGGAGGTGTTGCGGCGACACGATCTTTTCCAGCCTCGACGTCTACCGTTTTTATTTGATCACATCTTCACATTTTTTGTGACATGCTAGCAAACATGGCCTACTGCATTACCACATTACCAAATGAGGCAAAACATTTTATCTCCAGAAACTTTCACTCTAGATAATAAGATATCCACTATTTTTCTTTACTGACATGCGCTTCTTTATCTTCTAGGGCGAGGATCATACGGAATACTTCATTGGCCTGACCCCCGCTGGGGTCATCGTTCTCAGGGGCAAGGTCAAAGTCAGCAACTATTTCTGGTATGACTCAACAAACTGCGGAATTGGTGCTAGCAGATGACTCATGCATTTGTGTTTTCCACGTTGCAGTTGTTGTTGCCACCACTTGCCATGTTTCCCCTGAAGAAATTAGTCCTCGGGAACGTCTTGTCCTGTTTTCTTTTTCAAGTGAGCTGTGAAAACCGAGTACAGGTTCTGTATAGAATGTGATTCCATCGCTGAACTATTTCCCACGTAGCCTGGTTGCTGTTTTCAGACTTATTTGGATGTAGTGTTGAACAAGGAAACCCTGTTGGGAGGTGGGCGATAAGCTCCTGTTCGCTCATGGGCCTCACGAATGACATCAGGGGCGGCTGGCAAAGCAGCAGCAGCTACAGACATTGTTTCCTTCAGCTGTGCTCCTCATTCACAGGCCGAGGATATCAAAGGTGCACTTCAAAGGGAAATACTTCATGCTCCGTGTACGAGATAAAAACGTAAGTTTTTTTTCAACGAGTCGATTGGCGAGGAAATGTCTCTTATGTCGATCGTCGCTGCCTGTAGCGTTAAAGTAGCATCAAACGTCTACCTTAGAATGATTACATTTTTAACCTCTCGCCGGCACAGGCCATTTTGAGTCCTTCGACGGCACAAGGGGGTTGATACGACCCCCCCCCCCTCGCGTTTGGCCCCTGATCGAGCTAGAGCTTCGCGGAAAAAACGAGCGGGTTGCCCGTCACGAGAGGAAGCCAATGATACCCAATTTTAAGGTCTAGTCATCGGGTGACCTTCCAGGTCAGGTCAATGACCCGAAAACCGGGAAAATCGGACCTGTTAGAAAGTCGTAAAGTGTGGCTGCTATGTGGTTTTCCGGGGTGCTGATCACGAATATCGTGTTAGTTTGATCAGAGATGATGTCTTAAGCATTTAGACCAGGTCGGTCAGGTCAGGTCAGGTCAACCGGTAGGCGTTGTGACGGGTATTCGTAATACTGTCAACCGCCTCGGACAGCTTCTTAACATGTTACGAAGGCACCAAAACTACTTCGTAAATGTTCAAATGGTTGAATAAATTCGAATTCAGCTCCCAAAACTAGCCTAGAAACATGTAAAACTCGAAAAAGTGAACCGAGGTCACCGAGGTCACCAAAGGTCAATGACCTGACCTGACCTTCAGGTGACCTTGACACCCACCCTAATGCATGGGAGCAATCAATCACATGTTTGAACGTTTGCAACCACGAAAAGCTT